ATTTAATCGAGTGAATTTTTCTAAAACAAGTCACAAGAAAACGAGAACCGAAGTTGTTGCATTGTTCGGATTGCTGGCATTGCTCGATTATTGTTAGAGCCTCGTATATCGCACTTTTGACTCTTGACGCGATGAGTTTTCCTCTTAAACAATGAAACAGTTTTGCAAAAAGATCGCTGATGCCGTAGCAGCGCAACGCGTTACAACTAACTTTCGACTTTGCAATTGATTTTGTTTTGATCGAAGTGCCATGAAATGATGATATTGAGTTTGCCTTGCATAAGCAAAAGGATTCAATCAGTTTTCGACTGTACGATTTTCGGCAATACGCAAACCAAACTTCGGCTACAGGCGTACTTGCTAATATGACTTTTCTTTTCCTCTTCATTTTTTTTTTCCCTTTCTTTTGGTTTTTGTTTCGCTTTTTTGTGTCATTAGAAATGTCTTCGTTTTTATTTGATTTGGTTGCTGTCGTTTTGCACAAGTCAACAAAAATTAGAAAACCATAGTATATTTTTTGCTTTTACTTTTTTTTTTTTCATAATTTTGTTAGTGTTGTTGGTAAATTTTTGTTGTCGCTGATTCATTTGGTTAGTACTTGGTTGAAAAGAAAAACAATTTTGCAGATAGAAATAAAAGAAATGAACAGACAGAGAATGTTTTAAGTTCGCACAAATTTTTGGCTTACGGAATACGGAGTGTTGCGCACGTACACATGCACGTAGTTATTATTCAGAGAAATTTGTGGTTGGTTTTTGATTTGCTGCGCTCATATGTTATTCTTTTTAAAAGTTTTTTTTTTTTTTTCCTTTTTTTCTCAATTCTGGACATAAACACATAGTTCCGGTTTGGCCTCTTCCGCCTGACTGTTTTCCTCACTTTCTCTTATTTTTTTCTTTTTCTCTCTCTCTCTTGCTCTCGCTATATATTTTTCTATTTCTTTCCTTTTGATTTCATGGTGCATTAATACTGTGTCAACATACACTTTACTGTTTATTGTTATAGTAACTGTAGACGACAAAAATTTTCTTTTATAATAATGTGTGTGTTTGTGACTTTTTTTCAAATCTTTAGATTTGTTTTTCATCTTCATTTTTTTTCTCTCTTTTCTTTTTTTTATTTCTATTTTCAATTCTTTTCTTTTTTCTTTCTTTCTATAAATTGCATTTAGTACCAAATGTCTTTTTCCATTAACTTTTCATATTTCATATCTATCTGGGTCCTATTGCGTTGATGTGGTCTTCTATGTTGCTGTTCTTGTTGTTGTTATTGTTATCGTTGTCGTCCCTGTGATTATTCTGTGTTGAACTATTTTTGTGGCTAAGATAATCTCTTGAAAATGGATTTTTTTGCCGAAACGTTTTTCTTTTATTTCGTTGGTTTTTGTGTCTGATTATTGTCAAAGCATTTCATGTAACTGTAACTGTATCTGTGAACTGTGCTAGGGTGGAAATAGTTAAGTTCATTTTCTTGGCTATAATTGTACGATTTTATCTTTGCGGTTTCTTTATTCATTTTTTTTTTTTTTTTTGTTTTGCTCAACGAATCATTTTAAATCTTTTTTTGCTTAAACGATACTAAAGAAGAAGTTAAAAAATTTATTTAAAGCTTAACACACTTTTCGATACGTCAAACCCAAACAGACTTCATAAACTGTACCAAGACTTGTTAAAATCTTTCTCTTGTTTTCTTTCTCCCTATTCTCGATTCCTCTTTATCGTATTTTGATTAAAACTTATGTTTAATGGACTTTCCTGTAGCGGTTTGAATGTTTGTATTGCGGTTTGCCTGAGTGCTAACTACAGTTCTGCCATCGGCAAGTGTAAAAGTGTGGTTACGATTATAAGTTAACATATCAGCGTAGTGTATACGATACACTCAGAGACTTGTAGCCTAACGTAAAAAGGAAAGAAGATAATAATTCAAAATGTAGTGATCGTTCAAGCTATAGATAGGTTTTCTAGCAATTCTTCTAAATTACTTACTCGCAACTCTGTGAAGTGATTTTCCTTAAGATCTCGTAAACAAGCTTCAAAAATTGTTATTGTAAATTTGCGTTCAACGACAAGAGAGGGAGAGAAAGAGAGAGAGAGACACACAGAGAGAGAGAGAGAGAGAGAGAGAGAGAGAGAGAGAGCAAGAGAGAGAGACAGAGAGAGAGAGACAGAGAGAGAGAGAGAGAGAGAGAGAAAGAGAGAGGGAGAGAGAGACAGAGAGAGAGAGAGACAGAGAGAGAGAGAGAGAGAGACAGAGAGAGAGAGAGACAGAGAGAGAGAGAGAGAGAGAGAGAGAACCTCCCATTTCTCTCTCTTCTCTTTCTTTCCTTTCTTTCCTTTGTCGAATTTCTTTTCTTAGTCGAATTATCATTCGATAATGAAAAGTGTGTTTTTTTGTTTCGTAAAAAAGTGCCTCTCTCCCCACTGTTTTTTAAACATTGCATGCAGGCATAGTCTTCGTTTCTCTTCACTTCTTTAAAACGAAGAAGTCACGCTGTCTCTACCCATACCTACGCGTCTGAATGTAACAATTTGTCAAATCGATATGAAATTGGTCGTATTTTCATCGTAAATGCAAATTTCACTTACATTGGTATTTTTAAACGAAGAAGTTAGATACGCTTCACTACGTACGGAAATTAATTTGAATATCACTTGTGTTCTACTAAAGCAAATAAAAAATTATCATAATACAAGAGATTATTCATTAATTCGATGTTTTGTGTGCTTATGAAAGAAATTGGTTATGCCTCTCTGTATTCCGGTGCTCTCCCATTGTCATTGCACGCTCTTTGTCTTCTATTTTGAAAGCTGCTTGATAAGCAAGTGTTTACAGGCACAACAGAATCAGTCTTTCTTGGGTATTTCAAGCGTAGCTTTTACGCTATAAAGGCTTTTTTTGCATTCCATCGAATTCCATTCGAAAAACCTACGCTATAAAGTCCGATATTATCGGAATCATATAAAGTTGTTTCCACTTGTTCTTAGGTCCTTGCCCAGTAATGAGCGATTCATTATCATGGGAAGTTATTCCAAAGCATGTATTTTTAAGGCAGTAGCGCTGAATTTCTTTAAGCAAGAAACGAGGTTTTTACTTTTGGTTTTGCAAATCGAGTGATGAAAAATAAGTTAAGTGACATCTTGTAGTGTTATCTAAGTCTGACAATATATCGCTGACGATTAATTTGTTTACGCATTTTGTTACCGTCATTGGTTTATGCCGGCGTAAAGCGCAAGCTTGATTTCAAGAAAAAAAATAATTTAGATAAAAATAGCAAAAAGGGAATTCAAATATTCGGCTTCAGTTTTAAGGTGTCCTTCGCAAAATGATCATTGGTTGCACAAGAGTAATAAGTTTTTTTTTTTTTTCCGAAAGTTTTTGAAAGTAAAACTTCACTTATAGAGTGAGTGAATTGTTGCGAGTGCTTAGCTTTTAATAAAAACACGTTGCCCACAAAAGTCGATTCATTGGCTCCTCTTTAGCGTAGACTGTCAATCTTCGCTCTGTCCCTTCGCTAATGTCTTTTAATAAACTGTCAACAGAACAAAGTATAAATATTGTTGAGAGTTTTTTCGAAAATTTCTTTGTTGTGTGTTTGTGCTTCTTGAAATAATTTTTATAAAGGGAAAAAAAGTTTCCGAACACAAACTCTGATCAGATCCTGGATAATTCACAAGTTTATGCCATGTAAGTAAGTAATAAACTTTGATAAGTAGAGAAATTTAAAGGAATTTAAAGAAAGGATCGGGCGGTTGGCCAGTTAAAAATTGCAAAGTCTATGTCTCCAGCAAACCTGTTAGTACAAAGATTACTTACCCTTTGCTTTATTTCAAATATAGATATAATCGGCAGCACATACGTAAGTAATTCAAGTTGAGATAAAATATTGTGCCGTGTGTGTTTGTACTCAATAAAATCATATATATAATATATATGATATCTAAATAAATGCAAAGGTCGTGTGTTACTCTTACTTAATTACTCCTTTGTACAGAAACCCATGCATTTTCTTCACTTCATTTAATCAAGGTAATACACGATGTATGAGTGATATTTTCTTTATGCTCTATGATTCAAAAATATTCAACTAAACATAAACGGGGTACGAGCTCATACATAGGTAAACCTTAATAACCTTTTTTGTGGAGACTTACGTAAGATATTGTACATGCATGTATATATATATATATATAGATATATATATATATATATGTATACAAATATACGTATATGTTTTTAGTGTATTCATTATCGTAAGGATTTCTTTGTAAAAAACGGAAATCATTAGGTGTGAATATGTAAACTAATACTTAGGCAAGCGAAGAAAGCAAGCAGGCAGACAAGCAGGCAGGTTGGATGGCAAACATACATGCATATATGTATATATGCAAAAATAGTAAACCTGTAATTTTCTGCTCTTATATATACATATATATATATAATATATATATGTATTCTATACGTAATGACTGTGTTAATGTATATCTGTATATAATTTGATGTGGGTAAAGTAGCAATTATTTGCACATTAGCATTTAAGTTTTATTTCAACGTCTTTTTACACAAAAATAATTAATGCGTAACTTGACGCTGTTGTGCAACGGCAAAGTATCGTCGAATATAACATGAGAGAGACGAAGAAAATAAAAAAGCAAAAAAATAAAAGGAGTATAATTACAACAAAACAAAACCGAAAGAAAATCGAGACTTTCTGTTCAGTAACGTTATCATTTCGAAACATGCTTTGCCAGGCATAAAGGAAGTGAACCATATGAGCTCATTAAAAAAAAAAAAAAAATAAAAAAAAAAATAAAAATAAAAATAAAAAATTAAATAAAGTAAAAACAGAACAAAATTAAAAATAAAATAAAAATAAACATTTTGTATGAAGTCCGCAGCAAAAATATGTAAGCGTGCGTGTGTTTAAGTTTGCATACGCGTGTTTACATATATATTACAAGTTATGCAATTACTGACATTATACACTTTTAATTTAATTACAGCTTTAAAGGCCAACCATTGCGATGAGGTGTTGCTGAAACGAGCACGACATGTCATTACGGAAATCAAGCGGGCACAAGAGGCTGCCATCGCATTAAAAGCTCACGATTTTAAAAAGGTGAATAAACATGTCATGTATGCTTGTATGTATACATATATACATACATACATACATACATACATACATTTATTTATATATGATAACATAGATATTTACGTTCATGTGCTTATGTTATACGTTTACTAATGCGATAATGAGCGGGTGACTGAATACTCGGTTTTTGTAAGCTTGTTTTCATTATTATTATTATTTATTTATTTTCTTGTTTTTTTTTTTTGGGAGAAAAATTTTGCAGAAGATTATCTAATGCTGTTGTCGATGTTGACGATGTGGCAAATCAGAAATAACAGCAAAGTTATTAAGAAAAAAGGAAGAAAAAAAAAAAAAAAAAAACCAAAGCAAAGAAACAAGAAACAATAAAAAGTTACTTTATTATGACAATTATAGCGAAACTTGTTCACAAGCAAGTTGCAAACCGAGTAACGACTAGAAAGATTTAAAAGAGGCCCTAACAATTATAGCAAATATTACGTAAATACGGCTTACTTCCGATAACAAGAAATCTGACGATAATTAAAATTGTGTTCAAATCCATTCGTTTTTATTTCTACAAAACCAAAAAAAAAAAAAAAAAAAAAAAATATTTTAATTTATATACAAAGCAAAAAAACACCCAGTGTTTTTAGAATATAAGCAAAAAAAAGAAGAAGACTTAAGAAAGAAATACACTAAAAATACTATAATGAGACATGGTCAATCGTAAAGTACCCTACACCATCCAACAGTTATTCATATAACACTTCTTCAAAATAAGGCGTTCTGTAGAAAGTGGTGGAAAAAATGGTCGTAGCCGGATCATTTTCAACAGCCTACGTTCTTGGGGTCAAAAGACAGCAACTTACTAAATTTTATTAATATACTTTAAAGAATGCAATTGTTGGTAGGTTAAACGCGAGGAAACAAAACGGACGGAGAGACAAGCTTAAATCAATTTCGGAAAGTTATTCCGAACTAATCAAGCTGGGGCTGGCTCAAGCCCTTCTCGGTGTTGAACGCATCCACACAAACTAAATATACCATTATGGCACAAGTGGAAAGAAGGCTTGGAAAGAACTGTGAATCAAAGTTGATATGTTATTGCTACAAGCGACTCGCCTTTAAGGTTAATCTTGTAACTTCTCCCCAAATACAATTTACTCAGTCCATTTTCAACTTATTTCATTATACATTTGCAACAATTTATCACATCATCAAATTTAGTTTATGAATAAAAAGAGAATCAATATGTTAAGCATTGATTCGGATGGAAAGTATGCAGAAATTAACAAAGCAGTTAAGTCAGCTATGTACCAGCCATCGAATCTGGTAGGCCCAGAGCTAGAAGAGAACACCAATCGAACTTTTGAAAATTGATTTTTTCAAACATTTAATGCAAGATTTTATTAATGAGGTTTTCTACTGAAATGCTAATATGAAAACAAATGATGATTTTATGATTAATTGCACGGAGGTAAGCAATAATTTTTCATCATAATGTTATATCATTATTTCGATTCTTCTAATCCAATAAATTGAAAAAAAAATTACAATTGTTCAGGGATGTAGGCCTCCGTTTATGCATAGGCTTGCTTGTGTGCTATTTGTGCCTTTACATTTTTTCCTGTTCTTCTTATTATGTGATAGCTAAGCGTCAAATGTTTGAGAAAAAAAACAACTCTTCGGCCAGTTGAATGACATTGATCTCGAAAGAACTTTGAAAGAGATGATCGATCTCAAAATTGCTTTTATTCGAAAATTTTTGATTTTATCGTGTCACCGTCTTTCCTTGTTGTTTCTGGTTGCATTCTTTAACTTCAGCCCTCAACGAAAACCCAACTTAAAGTTTCCTATATAAGATAATTGAAGAGAAGAATTACATCAAATTGGTGTGAATTGGGTAAATCGGTCTGTAAGCTGCCGTAAATACTTCGCCTAGTAAAATAAACGTTTTTAGAACAAGAACAAAACTGAGATTTTAAAATGCCATAGTTTGGTAACGTTGAACCCTTACTACTACTCGTATTCATTACTTCACTTTTCGACATGCATAGGTATAGTTTTTGCAAGGACGTTTGTGTGGGAGAAAATTAAAATATGTTTCCTTCGAAAAGTTTGCCCAGTCATAAGCAAAAATAATATATTTCACATATTTTTGTCGAGCAGATGGAAAAATAAAAACTTTTTAACACATCACTAGGTCTAATTCAAGACATATTCGACACGGCTCCACCCTTCTCTTTCTTTCCGCTGCTATATGGACTAGACTATCAAGTACGAAGGATCACATATTTACCACATGACAATGAGTTTCCTTGGATCAGAGAAGCAGAGACGTGGCTAAGGCCACGGCGTCACAGCTTCGAAACTTTCCCTCAAATAATGATGAAAATCTAAAATTAATTAAGGAAATATGTATAATGCAAATGTAAGAGTGGCGCTAACACGCATATACCAGACTCTAAAGCTATGCAACGCTGTTTGCGGTCTTATTGTTTGCAACACTTTAATGTGAGAAATTTCTTTTGCTTAACTGTCGATTTCACAGGTACTAAGCATTAACGTGTTAGATTTGTTTCGTTTTGCCGAGAGGGGTAGGGAATAGTCTACACTCGCGTTCTCATTCTGGCATGGCAGGGGCAGCAAAAGCGTCCAAATGATTTCAATTCTTCAGCTCATTGACGGCTGCATCGATCGTCGTTTCATATTCAGCTGACATACGGGCTGTGCCATCTAATTAAGCATTCATATGCATATGTCAAAGCTAACCCCTAGAGACAGCTGTCAGTTTGCCTATTCGTTTACACAGCTATTTGTTTGTCTGCTTGATATTTTATTTTGCAGCTTAGTTTCCCCGAAATAAGCAAAATTCGTTCGCTACATACGAAAACTAAAATCATCTCAAAAAGCAAAGGCAAAAATTTCATTAGAATCTGTGAGGCGGCATTTTGAGACAATGCTGCAACTAATAGTATCTGAAAGCTGCACTTAAGTGCAAATCGAAGTAGTCTTATATATAACTTAAAAATGCGTTCAGGTAATGTCTATGACTCTGTCTTGAGAGTAAATAAAGCTATTAAAATTTGTTGTTGTTGTGTTCCCCAGCCGCTTGCATATATTTTCTATGATATGATGTTATTAAAAACGCGATCTTAGGTGCTTAAGGGTCACTGGTCAATACATTTGTCTCTTTTTGTTTAAAGCGAACGGAATTATTATTGTTATTTAATTTATATTAATTGAATTCAATTAATATAACTAAGCTTTATGATGATCTCCATTTGACTTCATTAAACTGTTGATAATAATCCTACTTTAAGCTTTTTGTATATACGCGATTATGTGTCTATAAATTCTCGTTAAAAAAAGCAAATAAATGTAAATTTGTTTTCAATTTTAACCACTCGGCCAAATGGAGAGGAGAAAATTAAAAAAAAAAAAAAAAAAAAAAAAAAAAAGAAGAAAACAGCATTATTTTCATACAAATGTAATTAAGAGAACTTCTGTGATAGGTGCGAACAAAAAGTAAGAGGATATTGGCAAAATAAGCCTCGCTATAAAATTTAACAATAATTACTTTATGATTTTTATTATTACACTGGTGATGGCTGGTATAACTTAAAGCTTATTTTTAATGGCAATTTCTCGCAAATTTGCATAATGTTATTGCTGTGAATCAACTCGTAATACGTAATATATATAAACGGTGCTTGGTTTTTGGTTTTGGTAGAAGGAAGAAAGATTTCTACACTATCGCAAATACATATATATATATATATATATATATATATATATATATATACATATACACACACACACACACAAACGCACGCATATACATACATATTTATACACAGGCGTACACATTCTCAGTTGCTTTTATATTTATATATCTACTACATGAATAAAGCGTCGACGGGTAAATGAAAGGCAACCAAGCAGGCTGGCAAGCAGACAAGCAAGCAAGCAAGCAAGCAAGCAAGCAAGCGAGCAAGTAAGCAGGCAGGCAGGCAGTTAGTTAGTTAGTTAGTCTGTCGTTGGCAATAGTGGATTTTGTATGCAATTGTACGCCGGTCATGCATATAAACGAGTGAACTATTATCAAAGTTGAGCAGCCATCATTAGCGTCATTTTTGAAATCGACGTGCATAATATGCGTTGAGCTGCCATAATTTGGGTAATATACACATAATATGCCTTTACACATACAAACACATAAACATACACACACACACACACACACACACACACACGCGCGCGCGAGCTTATACATGCCTACATACATATATATATATATATATATATATATATATATATATATATATATATATATATAAAAGTGAAACAGAAATAAATGAGCAAAAACGGAAAAGAGAATGTTTGTGAATAAAAGTGTAGAGAATGGCAAGACAAAAAATTACTCTACAAATATCATTGAATTTGCTTAACAGCTTAAAATGATGAAAGTAAGCAAAGAAAGAAAAAAAAAAAAAATTAAAATAAAAATGAAAATGAAAATAAAAAAAACGCAGTAACAAGTAAAATAAAGAACGGCCGGAAAATATGCAGCACATTCAAGTTGTAACGTATACCGAAGGATGCGAAAATGAAATAAAAAGACAAAAAAAAAAAAAACAAGGAAAAAGAAAAAAAGGAAAAACCATTGAGTGTTGCAATGGTGTTGAAAAACTAATTTATGCGGCGTTTTTAACAGCTGCCGTGCCTTCACCCTCGCTATGATAATGTTCCCCTTCATCTTATTCTGCGACGTATTTTATATAAAAGAGTTAGCCCAGCCAGCCGGTGGGGATGTTCTTTGTGTACTTTTTTTTTTTTTGTGTGAATATATGCCAAAGTTAATGATAAGCTAACTGTAAGCATATAAGTGCATGCATGTACGGACTATATAACACATGCAAGCAAGCTTTTGTAGGCTCTTTACTTTGCTTCTCTATAGACATTTATGTGTATGTAGTCTTATATATATTAAGCAAAGTAAAAAATATTGAGCTTGATAATGAGCGCTACACGAATTCATCTCATATGAGAAGAGAGTAAGATTCTATTCAATTGCGCTATCAATAATTTGTTTTCGTCAGCTGCAAGATATTTTGTGTAAACTCGTTGGCACGCTTTAGGCATTTCAATTTAGACCAAGAAGAGCCTGTCGTGATAATAAAATTAACGTTAACCCTTGTAGTTGGGCTTAAGAAAACAGACGAAGAAACATATATAACACTAAGTCTTGATCTATCCCCCAAATTTTTTTTTTTTAAGATGTCACAATTACGATAGGTTGCCTAGGAAAAGAAGGGTTTGAAACTAAAGCGAAATTCATATGTGTAGAAAATTTTCCCCTTAACATTGTGTAGTTCCTTCGCTTTCGAATTTTCTACAACTACGTCGTTATGTAGCTTAACCATTTCACCATCAGCTGTCATCTTCACCAAATGCAGCGACGTTACTAAAGCTAACGAGGGTTGAAAATCGTCAGCTTCACTCCTATCTGCTACTTTAGGGGCCTGTGTGAACTTGAACGGTGCCGTACGATGGTCATTTATTTACGACTCTTGAGCAATCTTGTACGCATACAAGTTCTAGTGCATAAACTCAATGCGGACATGCTCAGTTTCTTAGGAGATAATTGAATAATTACGGGACTGAATTTTAAGCAATCAAATTATCAGGACAATTGTAGGAAAAATAAATTGGTGACGTGAGACTATGCACCAAATTGAATGGACAATTGTAATCTCTTGGACATACTGTGTGAAAGTCTGTATGAAAGTCAAATTCGCACAAGTTGAATAGTTTAAAGAAACGCGTCATTATGTTACGACATGGCCTTTAGAATTTTAATTAATATCGGTATAAATTAATTTTTAATGTAATAATAAATTTATTGAATATAAATTTTTATTTTCTAATGGCTCAATACTTTTATTGTATACATATATATATATATATATATATATATATATATATATAGATGTATATAAATTTACGTATGTGTATGACTTGTATACGTCTACGTTTTCTCTTTACACATTCATACACAAAGTAGCTGTATACGCAAGCTTTCATCCCCTATCCGTGCATGGTGTGTTTGTGTGAGGTTGCATTTTGAATTTATAAAAAGGAAATATTCACGCGTATAAACTATATGGAAGGCCTACAAAATTTTAGGTGCACACATATAAGAACACCAGCCATCAAGTGTTGCTGTTGGTTACACATATAAGCGTGTATGCATAATGGGTTTGGTAGGGCTTTAGTTCAGTTTTTGAATTGCTGGCTTTCGCCTATTCAATTCAACTGCAATCAGCAAAATTTGATTTATGCGGCCACACATACCATATGTAAACACATATTCTTCCCGCACTTAAACTTTCATCTACCGAAACAAAAAAAACAAAAAAAACAAAAAAATAGAAATGGTTGGGGGGAGAGGAAGAAGAAATAGCCCAAAAAATCCCTTATACTCTCTTATACTCATTCATAAACCACCCGCTCATCGGTATTTAACGTTACTATATTCATTCATTCGGATAACGCATACTCTTGTCAACTCAATACAAAAAAAAAAAAAAAACAAATGGTGAGAAGGAGAAGGCGAAGCAAAGGGAGAGGGAAAGTATCGTCTTCCTCTTTATGCATTTTTTTTCTGCTTTAATACACATTTCACAGGTCTTCCGGTTCTATTTTTTCGGTGACTTTTTATATACGTATCGTGTGCTTTATTTCTTTTCATTTACTATTCATTCATTACAAAAGGTATAAAATTTTATATTCAAGGTATAGTAAAAAAAAAAAAAAATTTCACAAATGATGCTTGATTTTGGTTGTTATACTTACCACTTACTGTGGGCATATTCATTTTGTCAAGACGTTGGCCACTGCTCATCTCTCTTATTGTCCGTCCGTGAAAAGTTTATGGTAAACATTCTCTTGCTCGCATAGATTAACACATTAGAATACTCAAATTTGGCAAAAGCATAACGCGTAGCTTGGTATTGTAAATGGGCAAAAATTAGCCAAACGACACGCCCACAATGCAACGAGAGTCAAAGATCAAAGGATCTTCTATTAGGGATTTTTACTCATTACTTACTTTAGCTGCAGCAGATGTACGATAAAAACCTCATAGTGTATTGTAAAATGAAAAACTGTCACGCCCACTTAACGTTATAGAATAGCGAAATTTGAACTTATTATTATTCGTTTTTTTTTTTTTTTATTTTTTTCTATTTTGTATACTTTCTCCAAGCAAATATGATCGGCGTAAAAGATGCGGTCACAATCAAATTTTTTTTTTTTTCTTTTTTTTTTTTTTTTGGGATGTAAAGGAATTAGTATGCCTTAACAAATGCTAACCGTAGATAATGCTAACAAAGCAATTTAAAATATTCGCTGAATATGTTTAGATTTTATAATAATTTAAAAGTTATTGTAAAATTTAAAACTCTTTCTCTCTTACATTAGGAATTTTTAATTCATCCCTGATAGCTTCGGCAAAAGTTCTTTCACAGCAAAACCGCCTGAATATTGTTTCTAAACTGTTTACATAATAGTATTAACCTTGCAGAGATTCATTAGCGGTTTTCTATCTCAAAAACTGCTCGGGCTTTTTCGTGCAGTTGTTATAGCGAAACACTTTGATTTCCTTGATTTTTGCAAATGTTATCGAACCGTAAAATGCGGAAATAAAGAATATCGAACATGTTTATCATTGTTATTGTAGTAATCGATTCACTAAATATGTTTGATATTATTCTTATGGCCTTTATGTTAACTATTGTGCTACACTACTTCACTAAATTACCTATCTCGCATAATTTAATGTAATATAATGATAACTGAAGATTTCATTGCTAAAAATATTATAATTTTCTGTCGCGTGAAACTATCACTTTTACACGTTCATCCCAAATTTATATTTTAATCCGTTCACACGCGTATATTTAAAATGTATAAAAATTAAGGCTCATAATTTAAAATTGATGATCGCCTATAAAGAAAGAAGATATCATTTACATAATACGGCACTCAATAAGTTCGCGGGACGACAAATAAATGTTACAATTATTGCTAAGTTCATATTAGTGTGCATTTCGTGTATCGAGTCTCTGAAACAAGTGCCACTTGTTAGCTAATGGTCGGAATGTTACAAAATTTTGATATACGTCTCGTTTCAAGATTGCTACTATCTGAAAATGATATGGATTCGTCAATAGCCATTCTACATTCTACAACTGCATACTAGCCTATGAATCTATTGGGTGGTTTGCTACACATTCTAAGTTGAATAGTATATGGATTCGTAATCGTCGAGACTGACACATTGACATCGCTTGGTGGAACAAATACCCGTCATTTTTAGAAAGTGTCAACTTTAAGAATAGGAATTTTTTGTTATGACTAAAATACAATTTGTCGTCGATATGTTGACTTTAAACGAGAATTTTGCGGATACAGTTGCTGTTGAATGCGGTCGACAATCAAAAAACTTTTGTTGATTATACGAGAAAACATTATAAAAATTGAAATGTAAATTTTTTTTCTTGGTTATTGGTAATTAAAATGGCAAAGGATGGCACAAGTCCCAAAAATATCGAAAGGCATTACATTCACAATTTTGTTTACAAAATCGCGCATGAATCGAATATACCTCCTCAGAAGTTGATTGCCTGAACTAAAGTTCAGCAGGAGCTCCATGCACCTTATTCGCCTGACCTGGTGTAGAGTGGTTATTGTATATGCGCAAAGGAAGCTCCAGAGAAAAGAATTAAGAAAATGGCAACGATGTTCACTAGCTTCTAATATTAAAAATTTCGGGGAAAGTAGTTGACTGTCGAAGTTCCGAACAGTGTACACGTCCTTACGAAAAGCATAAAGCATGAAAATTTCTTTTAGGTATAAAGCGGTAACCATGCAGCCAAGACATAGCACCGTCTTGTTAGCATTCAGCGATAATCTTAGATATTATTAACACAATTCGAAAAGAGTTGGCAGAGTTTGTTTATCCATGCCCACATGGAATGTGGAATAAAGAATTCTTGGCCTAGCATGAAGATAATCAGTAGATGATTATCAACTATTTTTTTTTTTTTATCACTGGTTCCTATATATGTAAACCAATATTTCCGCAGGCCAGTAACAATTTAGCAAGCAAAGCTTTAGAGAATAAACACCAGAAGACGAAGGTGCCATCAGGTGGCATTCTTATCGAATTCTTCTTACATAGAATCCTGAAAGAAGAAGAAAATTTGACGAAATTTCTTTAAGATAACTAATGAAATAGGAATGAAATAATAAAAGAAAAAGTATTTGCCAGGAACTTGCGTCTATTGATAAAACAAAACTTAATGACCACAAAATAAAATGACCACACAATCGTCCTTTTGGAATCCCATATCCTCAACATCCACATCTTCAATTTCATGCCGAAAACACTTCGTATGCACGTTTCTGTAGCGATCAAAATTGACAGTTGCTGCCTGGCCTGGACTCTGGCCATTTTCAAGAACGTACGGGCTTGTCACACCTACATGCCATACCATGCACTGATTGTTTAGGAATGTAACGGTTTTTAGCCAGTTACTTGTGGACAACTTGCTGCGACAGATGCGACAATCTTGCTTATTGACATATACATCAAGCGAAAAATGTGTCTCATCACTGAAGAATATTCGATGCGAAAAAACGTCGCCCAAACGCTGTTGTTCAAGCATCCAAGCAACGTGTCTTCTACGAATTGCATGGTCCGTCCGTTTCAGTTCGTATGTTAACTAAATTTTGTCATGCGCCAAATGTTGTCGCACGCTCTGCTATATATTTTGGATCTTCTTGAGCACTCTCACTAACAGCACCAGTATTTTCGGTCAAGCATGCGTTTCGATGATGTCACGGTCTCAGCAAATTTGTTATACACCAAGTTTCTTCCAAATTGATCACAGTTTTGTCTATAACGCGATCGCATGGACGACCATGTCGACCATTATCTGCTCGTAATGCGTACGAAAACGTAGCCACTATGGAATCGGACTTTTCGTAGTAAGTTTTTACAATTACAACACGTTCAGTAATTGTTATACGATCCACATTGTACAATTATTGGACATTGCACTAAACATATGCTACCTTGGATAGTAGCTCTGTATTACCATGACCCCACGAAATGGAAAATTCTATATAATGAACTTTTCAATATGCTTTAAGGATACATGTGAAAGGGGCGATTAACTTACAATTTACATTAAATAAATTCGATTTTACTAATTGGCGAGCCAAAAGGAACAAAGAGGAAAAAAAGCTTGTCCATGTATAATCCAGGAATGTTCAAAAGTAGTGAGCATCATTACTGAGTCATTGTCACACCGTTATTTAACACCGTATGCTATTTAACTGCAAGATACGACTATTTTAGTTAATCGTATTATTCCCGTATGACATCGATAATCACATGTACACTCCGATATTTGAGATATTGGAATTTTGTAAGTGCATAGAAAGTTCATTCTAAATATAGTTGAAATATCTGTCGATTGAACTATCGATTGACGAGGTGTAAGTTGTGAAGTTATATGAAATAGTAAAGCAGTGGACTTTGTTCTCAACAAGCTTGTCGCACAATGCTCTCATCATTTTTAACATTTCGATTGCATTGACACCTATTAAACTTAACCTAGATTAGATGTCAAAATTAACAGTTATGGGCTTTTGTACTATAAATAAGGTAAGCGTTTACTTGCAGAGAATGCTAATCAATGTTTCGTTCAATTTCCATCGTTAGCCACTAGTTCGCTTATATCTTTAGTTAGGTGTGAGGAGGACAACAGATCTGGCCGGTTAATCAGGTTACTAAGCGATGATCTTTCAAACGGGAAAGCATTTAATGCATTATCTCTTTAAGAGATGGCATATCCAACATAACATTTAAGCCAAATTTAGATTTTATCAATGAATAGGGCCATGACGTCGTTGCAGTTGAGCCGTTGATATTTAAATGGGAATATCAAATAAGTCCATATTGGATTATCCTGCAAATTAATTTCTTGTTGTTTTTTTGTTCAAAAATGAAATCTGATTAACGGTAGAACATCGTATTGCCATTATGCGCCTGTACGATAATATATAAATCAATAGATGCGAAATGTCTGCAGGATTGAATTGAAAAAACGCTAGAAAATGTAAAATTTTGCAATAAAAAATAAATAAAATATAAATGCAAAACATCGCTGGCTAAGTGGCTGCATGCATATGTGCATATGTTCGCGTATAGTATTTTAGTAAAGTAGAGTATAACATATGCATGTGTGCGAGGATTTTATGGTCTAGTATTTAAGCCATGAAATTATTATGTTTAGTGTAAAAACCATTAACTTAGTGTGACTGTACAATTATTTAAAAAAAAAAAAAAAAAAAAAAAAAAAAAAAAAAAAAAAAAAAAAAAAGAACAACTTTCTGTTATTGGTGGTCTCAATACCATAAGAAAAGGAATAAAGAAAGAAATGTGAATTTATAAAGCGACTAAGGGAGGTTGAGTGAGTTGGGCTAAGGCGGACGTTAAAGTAGATTTATAATTTTCGCAATATTAAAGGCCACATGCTGTGAGTTTTGTTTACAGCCACGCTTACAGACCACTGTCTGCAAGTATAATCTAAATAAAACAAAAGAATGAAAAGCTTATATCTGACCTAAAACGAATTTAATACACTCCGCAATTGCTGAGTGGAAATGCTTCGTATAATTATGAAAGCGCACACACATATGGATAACAAAGAGATGGTAGTGGACTCGGAATAGCAGACTGTCTCGACACTTACTCGCTCTAATTAAAAGTAGACAGTAGAATACTTTGTTATATCTTCGGTGGCTATAAATGAACGAATAGTATAACTGCGTTAGCATGCCGCGGACTCTTGATGCCGGATTTGTAAAAGGAGATAAAAGCACATACCACACACCATTGACAATATCTGTTAAATGTATACGCGTAAAGTACGTGCCCCCCACAAAACACCCACTCAAACACTTGCATTCTCATATTTATAAAGCAGCAAAATTATTTGTTGTTGTATGTATGTTCGTTAAGTGAGTTTTTCATAAGTATTCTGTATATAGTTTTTAATATAAATTAAGTTTGCATTGTGCAAACTTTTTTGCACTTACATGTGTTTTATGTTTTATATATATTTTCTTGTTTTCATATCGTTTCCCTCCTTTTATTTCTTTAAATACAACCTATGATATGTATGTGTGTATATATGTATAATATCTATGTAATATATGTTACATTTTTGTTTCCCTTTTCTTCTATACAGATGGGTGAACTAATGACAAAGTCACATATGTCACTACGTGATGATTTTCAAGTGTCGTGTCCGGAACTGGATGTACTCGTTGATGCGGCCATTAATTGTCCTGGTGTGTTGGGATCACGTATGACGGGCGGTGGTTTCGGTGGCTGCACAGTAACACTCGTACAACGCAATGCTCTTGATAATGTTATTACCGCAATATATGAGAATTTCATCAAGAAATTTAATAAAAACGCTGCCGAACGTATCGAATTTTATATTTGTACACCAAGCGAAGGAGCCAAAAAATTGTCATTATAATGAAAAGCTGACAAAAGTGCAGTAAAAGAAAAATAAATGAAAAAGAGAATAAGCGAAAAAGACATACAAAGGAAATAATTTTTATATTATAAGAGAACAATAAAACGAATAATGAAGTGCAGTAATTAAAAGTTATACACATATCTAGATGAACATACAATTGCTTATTGACGAAAGAAATAAAGAAAACGTAAAAAATTTTATATTTTTCTCTTAATTTTACTTTAAGCTTGGCTTCGTCATCAATTAAGGACGTAATTTCTCTCTTCCACAATTAATATAACAAATAATTGAAAACGCAACAAATTTTCTTTAATTATTGTTAAAAGAAGAAAAAAAAAAAAACCAAATCATTGCTTACGCTATTGCATTGAGTTGATTGGAAAACAATTTTTTTACAGTCTGGCCTAATACCGGAGCAAAATATCGTTATCCGAGTTATATGCATTTTCATTAATATATTCTCCACTCAGCTGCGGTGATCAAGTGCCTTTTTTGGTCTCACTTGTAGCAAGCATCCAGTGATGGGCAACACTTTCAACAAGCGATTTACGTTGAATCTATGCATACCTCCGTGAGACTCTTTACGAAAGTAGCCATCGGACCGTGAAATCCCTTAGTTTTCATGCATTTCGCTTTTTGATTCCTGAAACGGAGAAATACGTCTCGCTTCTAACGGATATGGTTGGCAATTTGCAAACTTTCGCTTCAAGGATTTCGTTCAATAAAATGCAACGATGACACCAGTTAAGCACCATTAAAAAAAGACTTATTTTTGGCATTTTTTTTTTTTTTTTTTTTTTTTTTTTGGATGGAACCGAAACCAACAACATTTTTTGAAACACATATACAAAAAAATGTCAATATCGAAACCATTCTCGGGACGGTCTGCGCAGCATAGTGTAACTGGGACAAATTTCAAACTAAAAGAAAAAATATTAATTATATCTGTACATAGGGGACTCTAAAAAGACCGAATTTTATGTGAATGATAAATATTTGAATGAATTTGTTCAAAGCACACAAAATATTTTTAATATATCGATAGAATCCATATATTTTGATAGAAAATGTTCGTCTAAATTATACCAAGTAAGAAAATTATTTTTGGTCGTGACCGAACCTATTATACCCGCTGTCGTGATCCTAAAAATAGTAAAAGAATTTAATTTTCATACTCTACAATATTGGGTGGTCGCGGTTGATTTTGTCTATTCTCAGAATAAAAGTGAAAATTTGTATTGGTGTATGTAGTGTGGAAGTAAAAAACACAGAAAGCAAATGCGTTCACAGTTTTTGTCACATAGATGTGTGGGCATTGTAGGCGTGCTCATTGAAATTTTTGGATCATTTTTAAATTCTTTTGCGAGTTTGTTGGCGAGATTTTTGCGCACGGAAGTACACTACACAGATGCGCAGACGGACAGATGGACAGATAAACGGGCTGAAATGTTTAGGTGCATTCCAAATTTGAAAGCGGCCAAGAATTAATATACTTAAAGTGGCCTTGAAGCATCCTTCTGTGCGTTACAAAGGCTTTGAAAAAAAAAATAATGGAATTATGACACACTATAAAATTGACTAGGCCTGGGCGATCATTTCCCAACATCGTCTGTAAAATACTTTTGCAGTTATGTGGCGTAGTCTACGAGTAATGAGCAAAAAAGCAATTTTTTTATTCTTTTTCAAAAACGAGCGAAATCGTCACTTTTCATAGTAAGTGTCCTTTGACCGATTTTATCCATTTTCAATGTCAACTTTAGTGCAAGAGATTTGAATATTTCAGACGAGTCGATAGATTGATCTTTCCCGCCAGGAGAATGTTTACAATAGACGTGGCACAGACGGACAAGTGGACATGCTTAAATCGATTCAGAATTTGATGCCGCTGAAGAATATATATACTTGGTGGGAGGCGATGGGTATAAAAAATTCGAATGAAAGATATGAAAATTGTAGAAGTTGTTTAATGGGACGTTTCGAAAGCACATGTTCCGAGGAGCAAGGCCTTCAAAGTTTCGAAATGTGTTAAACTATGTTGTACTATTTTTTTTTTTTTTTTTTTTTTTTTTTTTTCATTAATTTGCAATTCTAGATAGAATTCCATGACTGTAAAACTGGCCTCTTGTGTTAATACCGCAAAAATTTGCCATGCTATGGCGTGCCAATTTGGCTGTATGTGTCAAAGGCAATGTTGCCCGTTTTACATTTTACATGTGTAACGATGTATATGTTAGAGAGAATGTCAAGAAAATTTATAATTCTATAGACGAATTCATAATTAACAGCAACATCTGCATCACACATCATGGCAGTATAACTTGTTTCTTTCGAATCACTTTCGGCCTCATATCTATTCAACAGACATCTCAACGATTTGTGACGCGATGCTTTCTTGTCCTTGTTACAAATGAATTGTTAAAAATTTCAATCACATGCAAAAATCGTGATTTCGAGCCAAGAACTTGTGCCCCTTTTTTCTGCACGCATTAACGCCCTACTAACGTATTTTTTTCTATTCGAAATGCTTTTAAATGAACATAAATCCCTTCTAAAGTACATATGCTTAAGGATAAACAATTCCCAGCAGGGATTCATTTGACACAGGAAAACTTTTGGGGCGGCTTTGACACATTATTAAAGGTTTCAAGGCATTTACACAGCTAAAAAAAAAAAAAAAATTAATTTTCTGAAAAAATGTAGAGTTTTGTCAATTCCTTGAACTCCCTAAAATCAACCTACGACTGGTATTTGACGTTTACAGCAAAGCAATTCACTGTTTACCCTTTTTTTTCTCTATACACTTTTGCCTTTTGAAACAAATACTATTACCTCTCCTAAGATTTGCTTAAGAGCAATAATAATTAGGAGGGAATAAAATTTGCTTGCGATCAAAGTGAAATTCCGAAATGACTTAATTATATCGCAGTTTTCGTATTTGAGTTCAAAAATGGGAATTGAGATTTAATGACTAGGAACGTTTTTGAATACAAATTCAGATAATGTCACAAACAAGCAAGTCAGAGACCAAATCTTATATACCTGCCATGTTCATATATATATATATAATAGAACGTCGAGGCTTGTAAAAAAGCTGAGAGAATTTCATTCTTACTGCGGACGCGGGTACGAAACCTAACCGTATTGAATATTAGTTTCAAATTGCGTAAAACATATATCAGTTTTTTTTTTTTTTTTGATCGCTTACTTTTAGGTTAGAATTATTAAAAAATGATAACAACTCTTTAATCAATATGTATAGTTGTTTCCAACAAATCCCGTTACATCTTGTATCGGTTTTAGTCATCCTTGCGCGCTTAATGAATATATTTTCTTTTTATCTTTGTGTTTAATAAATAAATGAAGAAGAAATTGTTTAAATTCGGATGGGTACACCTTAGGACGTCCAATACGCAATCGAAAGGCACAAGTTCAATCCCGGTTGCGGTAAATCATAAATGGTACGTTAGTACATATGTGATAACATTCCATTATATGGATATGTAATTGGCGTTGTTTATCACGTATTGTTTATGTTTGCCGAAACATACTCACATCCGTGCTCGATGCAATAAGTGTTGATGAACTACTTGTCCTTTTCGTTTTTTTTTTTTTTTTTCCATTCCTCCTGTTGTTATTTTTGATTTGAATATTTCTAGAAATATGCCCAAAATCTACACAACTACAATTCCGGAGTGGTTTTTTGTTCTCTTCCTCGTAATTTTTCGTATACAAGAGCAGGTTTTCTTTTGATTCAAAATCATCCAAGTATCCAACTTTCCAATTAGCCTAAATGATGCCTTGAGCGCGTCATTTATATTAAGTGTTTCGTTCCTAACTTTCAAGGTAATCATCACCAATTCGTTCACCTAATCTTGGACTGAGCTATAATTCTTCAGTTTTATGTTAACCAAATACTTGAGTAATTTCACTTTTGTCATAACCATTCATTGTGAGAAGGCAAAATGTCTACAATGCTGTGGTCGCGACGAATACCATATATACTCGATTTGCGAAGGGTGGAATGGCGTATAGAAGTGGCAACATTTGGACAGACAAATAGGATATGATTAGGAGATTGTAAGATTCTACATGTGCATAAAGGGCTATTTACGATTTTAATTTTGAATACATGATCATAACACCTCGTGCGATTCGACATCAGCCTGCTAATAAGGCAAACAGTGCCACGTCTAGGTTCGCAATTGGCAAACCAAGAAGCTTTACTTATTTGTGGAAATAAAGAGTATAAGTGACGACCATAAGGTGAATTCTTCCATCGCTGTTGTCAAGACAAGTATGGAATGTTTTTGGTTGATTGCCCTAAAATTTGCCGAAATCAGAGCCTGATCATTAAAATGAGTTGGTCTAAAAGATGCAATTTTACCCACAATCGTATCACAAATTTTGTCAAATCAAATTTGAAAATCAACAAAAGCTGTCTTTATATATATATATATATATATATCTATATATATGTATGTAGTAGGAATATAGCTAAGTTACGATAAAAATTCTTAATATTAGTGCCATTAACTTGAAATCTTACTACATTTTTTACGATAACAAATATTGTCATGAATTCAGTATTGAGTAGTGAATGTGAAGAAGGTCCAGGCGATAATCCATGCATATATCTACAACATAAAATGCTTGTGAAAATTTTTATATCGCAACACACATATAGCTTTTACAGCCACTTAAAACAAAAAAAGCATTAAAAAAATGAACAGAGGAATTGCGCAATTGATTATGTAATATATTATGCTTTTAAGCTCATTAACGGACGAGACAGAAAGATCATGTAATTAATAGCAATCGTTGAATGTTCTACAAATTACATGAAACGGATTAAGCAAGTCGTAATAAGTGCGGCATTATGATAACTTCATTTAATTAATAAGATTGTATGAAGAAGCAGAGGGGAGAAATATTACCTCCCAATTATCTGATATAGCGATAGCGAATAGGGACATTTCACGTCTTTCGTCAAGCGTAGATAAGCCAATAAATTTCATCGTGTTTTCATGTAAATTTAATTT